AATATTGTTCACATCACAGTGCAAATAAATTTAATTCACTATAAACTAGTTTTTTTAAAATATTAATAAAATTAACACTTAAAAAAATATTAATAAAGAAATATTAATGAAATTAACACTTAAAAAATATTAATAAAATTAACATTTAAAAAAAATTAATTAAATTAACATTTAAAAAAATATTAATAAAATTAAATGAACACTATAAAAAAAATAAAATAAAATAAAACCTGTGTTAACAGTGCAAATGAATTGCACTGTTTACGTCAACAGTGCAATTCACTGTGAACAGTGCAGTGAATTGCATTGTTGCAATTAATGTATATAGGGAATGAAAATTACGTGGAACCCATGTACAGTAAACTAATTTTCTTTTTACCAAACGGCTGCAAACTGTGTTTTAATTAAAACGCAGCCGCAGCCGCAGCGGCGTAAACAAACGGCACCAAAGTAAAGACCTTAGGGAAAGTCAAGGCATTTGATGAAGTGAGCAATAGAGATCAGGCACAATGGTTGTGTGGATGTGTACCCAGGAATGGATAATGGCGTTAAACCCTAAACTTACATCACCACCATAGACCTAACTATCAAAGTGAGCCTTTTGATTGTATCATTACTCATTAGTATCCTTCAAATACAACTTTTATAGTGGGGAACATGGGTGTCCTGCTTTGAGTTGTAGTTTGAAAGGAAGATATTGTAATATTGCGCAATGGGACAGTGCCAAGGAGATGCATGGTGGCTGTTGATTAGAAAGCCTGCAATTCATACAGGCACTAGTCATTACATGAAGCTCATGTATGCAGGTAGAGCTTTGTTGATGCACGCAAAAAATCAAAATAAGAAGAATGTAGAATTATTCATTAGGTTTATTTTCTTCCAAATGTGAAAGATCCTAATTATGATTTTTCTTTGTATATATTGGTCATGTTTAATGCAGATATTTTATATATTTCCTATTGAATGTATTGTAGTATAGAGGAATCTATGCAGGAGCTAGCGATGGTGGAGAGCTGTGAGGATTAGATCGAAAAAGTGGTAAAAGCAAGTAATACTTTAGAACCTGAGTTTGACTCTCAAACCATAATTTTCAAAACTCCACCATCCCTAACTCTCCTGCATAGATACTTCTATACTAAAGTTACAGTAGGAAATATAGAAAATAGGATATTCTATACTATTAGGACCAATCTAAACATAGAAAATCCTAGTTAGAATCTTTTATACTAACAAAGAAAATAAATCTACTGAATAAAATCCTGGTAAGAATCATTTGTGTATTGAACCATTTGGACTTGCCAGTATGTATTGTCAAAATGCACCCTTTTCTACTCATTTTGATGTGAAAAATCAGAAAGCCAAATGCTTTCAAGGATCCATTTAAAATAATGGCTAACAGCCAAGTGTTCAAAATGTGCTAGCTTTGTGTTGTGCACATAGCACAGGCTCCACATATGGTTCCTAGGTCAATATTGTGTACCTAGGGGCATGTTTTAGCTCTTAAGCTTCTTGTTCCCTGGCTTAAAATTATTCTGCACATTTTGATTCTTAACTTTAGCACCTACAATATATGTATGATAGCAATTAAAATATCCTGGAGCAGATGCATTTATTTTCATAATAAGTGATTCTAAGGTGTATGAGACATAATAAACTTCTCAGGATATATTATACCATCAAACTGAGAAGTTCAAATGCTTTCTAATCAGGTAGGATGCATCTCTACAGAATCTTTGGATTTTGATCTGAATAACCAGAAGGCTGTTTGGAATGCTACACAAAAGAATGTCCAGGTTTGTACATGTTTTTGGGGTCTTTATTTCTTTGAAGAGAATACAGAGCTTAGTGCTGAATATTGGAGAAACTCCTTACTAGGTGGTGAAATGAGGGTCCTTAAGAAAGTGACAATAACAGTGATTCTCAATTTTCCTTGGCAGCCGCATGAATCAGTAAAAACTGCTGTTGTCATTTTTCGTTTTTAGTCTTATACAGAAATATACATGAATTTGATTTCAGTTCATCTTCATGGGAAGCAAAACGACAAGTGCAGATGGAGCACTGGAATATCTTAAGAAAGAACTAAAGGTAGAGGGCACAATCACAGCTACTGTACGTGTGTGTGTTTGGTAATGTGGTGTGGGTGCTTTTGCAAGTGTGTTTGGACTGAAAAAAACATCAAATCAAAGTTTTTCTAGTGTTTTTTTTTTGCAAAATCATCTTAAAGCACCTAAAAAGCATCAAATTGATGCTTTTACAGTCCAAACGCAGTATTAACTCAGTACCAAACACTGCATATTGTGGTAATGCTTTGGGATATTCTATCATCTCATGCAATCTTTCTCTGCATGCTCTTGCACTCAAAAGTTTCTGTCTGTGAAGAAGTATCTATCACAATACTTTGTACCCTATCCCCAACTTTCCTGTTGTTATCTGCTGAGGCTCTAATCTTTGGTTTATATTCTCCAATGTCCACAGGATGAAACTGTGAGATTCATAAACAAATATGATGAGGCTCTATTGCATCTGATCTTTGCAGGTTCAGACATAATCTTGTGCCAATCTTTTCATGACCCTCTACTCCAAGTGCCTGTAAGTAGAGAATTATTTTCATCAAAACAAAATCTCCATTGCATCTGCTTCTTGTCTGGAAGATCCCAAATCCAAGTCATCACCTACACACGAAGTAAAACCTGGGAAGGCCTAAAGAGATCAATCACACATACATTTGTTTGCAGAAACATTCCATATAAGCCCACCCGTGTCTATTAAGTGTTGAATTGCATAAACTGCTTCTGACCCTGCATCGTGCTGCTGGAATTTGCTAGTCCATCCTTTTTAGCTCTGTATTCCTGAGGGTCCATGGTGCTTATAATTGAATGAAAAGTTCCTTTTTTATACTGATTTCCACTCTTGTTCTTTTACCGATCTTTTTCCTTTCAGTGTCCCCAACTTCATATGATTCATATGGGCTTGGGGGCATGGGCTAAATTGTCTTCGTCAACTTTGTACATTTCATCAATTTTGCTTCATCTCATAAGTTCCCCTTCCGTTTCTTTCCTCGTGTTGCTGCTCAATGAACATATATTTATACACGTATGCGTGTCTGTATCAAAAGCTGTTCCATTGACTTAGCATTATCTGTGTAATATGAAATTTGTAGCTGAAAGCTTTGAAATATGGAGCAGCTCCGGTTGCAGTAACATCCAATGAGAACAAATTCAGGTAATGTATTCTGTAGAAAATTTTAAGCAACTTCACATCTGTACGTTTTGTTCTCCCTTTTTCCACTCCTCCCTCATAAAGCAAGAATGACTCTCTTTAGCTCTTTTACAGACATTTTGTAGATCATGAACAAGAGACCACTAGATTTTCACGGTTCATTAGCTCTACCTTTGGATATTTGTCTTTGAGCCAGGCTGTAGATGAAATTGTGAGTGCTTGCATGGTCACGGAATTCTTCTTCTATTTTTATTATAATTTTTTAATTTATTTTACTGATGCCATGCTTTTCTGCAGAAGAACAGCCCATCAAAATGGAAGCAGAAGATAGTAGATGCCATGGCTAAGGACTTCTCATGGAATGCAGAGTGCTGTGACGTTCATGTTTCTGCATACACGGCCCTAAAAAGCTTGTGAAGTTAGTTGTACTTCTCTAAGCACACTTCTAACGCCCCCCCGCATTTAGGTAAATGATTTGGAGGCTGTAGAGCAATATCAGCTTTGGTAGAACGTGATGTGTTGAGGCTTGAGTATCAAGGGGGCTCAGATCATCATCTGCATAGCATTCACACATCTTCATGTCCATTGATGGCAGTTTTGGATGTATACTACTGTGAATATGAATAATCTCCTATACCTGTAATTTCCTCCAAATAAATCAAATTTATGCAAACAAACCCTAAAAAAGCTATCTAAGAAATGAAGTTTTAATTAATTTAATGAAATAAATTTTATTATTATTGAACAAAAAATGAGGGTGGGTGGAATAAAGAAATTGTACTAAGTTTGAAGATATGAGACAAACCCGCTCCCTATTTACGAAAATATTATAGAAACCCGTTTTGTACTCATAATGCTCTTAATTCAAAGCCTCTCGTTGCCTTTTTTTTTTTATGTGGGCATGGAGAGTACAATTTTGGTTATTTTTAAAATATATTTTATTTTAAAATATATTAAAATAATATATTTTTAATTATATTTTATATTAATATATCAAAATTATCTGAAAATATTATACAAAAATAATTTAAAGTAAAGAAAAAAATAAAATAAAAATTTAATTTTTTTAAAAATGTTTTTAAACTGCAAAAATAAACATAAACATGGTGGTTATGTGTCGTGGAGGCATGGAAATTGAGCTTTAGCATGTTTTCTTCTCCCCACTCCATAATTGTACTGGCCGTTAAAATTAAGAGTTCTGTTTATATATATATATATGAAATTGGTTGTTATATATTTTGTTTTATTTTTTTTAAATTTTATCATTAGGTATTTCATCTCATTTTATTTTTACATCAGTTTTGGTTTTTATTTTTTTATTGTTATTTTGTTTTTATTCTTTTTTAACAATCACATAGTCAAAGAAATTGAAAATCCAAGGCTAGATACTAAATAGTCAGGAAAGACTGGGATGCTTCTTTTTCTTCACGATATATATATTAGGAAAATCCTCATTTTCTATAGCATTGCGATGATTCAAATGTAGAAAAAAATGTTGTTCCGAACCAGGACAAGCATTATTGAATATAAAGTAAATTGAGAAAGTGAGTTTCTCTCTCGAATATGAAATCTTTTATTTATTTATTGTGGATTTATTTATTTTTTCCATATAATCTTGTTTGCATTAACTGTAACTTTACTGTGATTGATTGCAATCATGACTTTTTTAATATTTAAAGGTTAAAATTAGATGTTTCTTTTAAGAGAAAAATATTTTCCATTCACAAAAATTATTGAAATTTGTAATATCAAACCAATTATTTTAGTAGAAAACTACTCATGAATTTTGAAGAAACTCCATGGTGATCCCCGCAGACTGAACATAATTATTCATAATAATTAGATCTCTTCATGAAATGAGAGAGCCGCAAATATTTTATAAAAAACTTTTTACTATTAATTTATATATAAATAATATATATTTGCCACATTTACATTTTTATTCTAATTATTGAATTCAAAATTTTTAATAGGTATCTTAATTTGTTAACCTCAATTAGTAACATGACTTTTTAATTTAATTTTATAGAGTTTAAGATTTAAGATGTAAAATTAAAATATTAAAAATTTATTTTAATGAAAAGTGTGATTTGTCAACTTATATGAAAACTATAAACTATAATGTATTTTTTTAATTCTATTTTTATTTTTATTTTCAAGATAATGATAGTTATTCGTTTTTAAATTTGATTGAAATTTTTTTTCATATGGAAAGGAACTCTGACACTATACAGACCTCGATGTATACAAAAAGAAAAGAAAAAACAATTGCAAAAAGTATAATATACTAATTTTCCTAGCAAGGAGCACTTACATCAATTTTCATTTAACAACAGGTAAATCATTTCATCTCCTTCCTTTCACTTTTAATTACCATCTTCATGTACCAAGTGTGTGCGAGTAGCTCGTGCACTCTTGCAAAGAAAAATATATCAATCGGGTTATTGATTTGAACCAGTAATCAGGTCAGTTTAGCTGAGTCTAACCCAACCTAAAAAAAAAAAAAAGTTGGCCAAGTTTGGGTTTTAAATCCAGCCTCCTTAAATTATGTTTGCTAAGGATATACTTTCATTTTAATTTGATATTTAACTAAATAAACTCTTTTTTGATAACAAAAAATTTCAAAAATATTTGAGAACCTTCATTGATTTATTTGTGGTCCTTTCATATTTTTTTTTTTGTGTTTGTATTTTTTTGTAGATATACTCAATATGTGGACTATTACTATTAAATAAAAATATGTCATGCAATGTTTTTTTTTACTTTCATATAAAAAGAGCAAAAAATAATAAAGGATAAACAAGAAAAAATGACATGGAAAATTTCTTTTTTGCAAAAATATTCATTAACACCAAAGTCAGAAATATCATATTTTTTTAGATTTGTGTGATATTTACTAACGTCAGAATTAAAAATATTCCTAAGAATTATTTATTGACGATGTAACTTGTCTTAAATAGGACACTTAAGAGATGATAGCATCTTCTATTTTGCATTATCAATCTCGTACCATAAAATCTTTGTTGATCAGTTAGGATTCTTGATAATCATAATATTAGATGATAACTTCTTAAATAAAATATTTTCTTCTAAAAAATAAGATGCTAGATAATTTTTTTTCAATTAAGAAATTATTTTTTTAATCAGTTACCACGATGTCTGGTTATGATAATTATTTTTCTTTTTTTATTTCTTTATGATAAATTGAAGGCTTGAATGGATGCAAACAATGAAACTGATGCACAGAATACATATCAACTTTTCGAAACAAATACATGAGCAAACGAAGTGTTTCTTTTCTTGAAACTAAAGAAAGAAATAAAAATAATAAATTTAATTTAATATTTTCCTACATCACAACAATGAAAAAGGATCACATGGAGAAAGTAGCACCTGGAAAAGAAAACAACGACAAGATAATTATACACAAAGACAAGTCCTAAACTTTCACTGCCAAATCTATAGAAGTTTAAAACGTAAGGAGCATCTAGAAAAGAAAAAAAAAATATAAGACAAATATAGAGAGAGGCAAGTCCCATCAAGATTTATGTTTTTTTTTTCAGAATATTTTTTAATAAAAATATATTAAAATAATATTTTACTCAAATTTATTTTTTCATATTTAACATCAACATATCAAAATAATTTTAAAAAACCTAAAGTATTTAGATAAAAAAAATTTTAAAAACACTTTAAAAAAAATTAACTTAAAAACAAATACTCACTAATATATCTCTATCAAGTTTATAAAAGTTAAAAAATAAAAGAGTACATGGAAAAGAAAACAATGACAAAACAATTATAGAAGCAAGATTCATGTCTTGATCTTTTTTTAAAAATATTTTTTAAAAAAAAAACTCTTGATCTTTTTTTAAAAATATTTTTTTAAAAAATAAATTAAAATAATTATTTTTATTTTTAATGTCAATATATTAAAATCATTCAAAAACATCTAAAAATATATAATATTTTTTTCAATGCAAAAACAATGTTAAAAACACTAAACAAGTCCTACCAAAGAAACAAACCCTCGCGAAAATGGAATTGACCCTATGATAATATCATTAACACATACCTTTTCGGATAAATCGTCGGGTATGGTTAACACAATCAAAATGGTGCGCGCCCATTTACCGGTTGGTTAGTAATAAAACGTGAGTCCTCCCTCTCTTCCCAGATCATCCTTCGTCTCTGTCGTAAGCGTCTGTCCCTCACTCTCTTCCCTTACCAGGTAAAGCCCTAAACCCTTCCAAGAGAAAAACCCTCTCAACAATAAAAACAAAATGCCAGACCCAATTGAGTCCTACAAACCCTACACCCTAACCCAAACCCTACAAGGCCACAAATCCTCCATTTCCTCCGTCAAATTCTCCTCCGACGGCCGTCTCCTCGGCTCTTCATCCGCTGACAAAACCATCAAAACCTATTCCCTCTCCCCATCTAATCCTCCCACTTCCCCAATCACTCCTCTCCATGACTTCCACGGCCACGAACAAGGCGTCTCCGACCTTGCCTTCTCCTCTGATTCCCGCTTCATTGTCTCTGCCTCCGACGACAAAACCCTCCGCCTCTGGGACGTCACAACTGGGTCCACCATCAAAACCCTTCACGGGCACACGAATTATGTGTTTTGCGTCAGCTTTAACCCAAACTCCAGTATGATTGTTTCGGGTTCTTTTGATGAGACTGTTAGAATTTGGGATGTGAAGAGTGGAAAGTGTTTGAAGGTGTTGCCTGCCCATTCTGATCCAGTTACATGTGTTGATTTTAATAGAGATGGTTCGCTTATTGTGTCCAGCAGTTATGATGGCTTGTGTAGGATCTGGGATTCTGGGACTGGTCATTGTATCAAGACTTTGATTGATGATGAAAATCCACCCGTTTCCTTTGTTAAGTTCTCGCCTAATGGAAATTATATTCTTGTTGGCACTTTGGATAACAATTTGGTATGTCAAAATTCTTTCCTTTTTCGCTGTTCTAATATAACATCTGTTGCTTTCGGAAATTGGGAGATTAGTCTTTGTTTTGGAAATTTCAAACATTTGATTAGTAGTAGCTGTAATGTTTTCTTCCGAATGATATGTCAATGTCACGAGCTTATACTAGAATTTTCTGCTTATTAGCAGGATGAACTTTCATCTTATGATATAGAGCCTACTTTTCCCTTCTTTTATGTTTTATCAATCCATATTGATGAATTCATGTTAGTTTCTGTCTAAATGATTTCTCATGGTGGAGCATTTAGCCAGTTTTCATATAGTTTCTTGCAAACGCAGTTGAAATTGTTGCAAGCGTTGTTTTATTTATTCTTTTGTATGGCTGCAGTTCTGCTATCTTGAATAACAGTTTGCAGATAATATATAGCATTGTCATCCTTAACTTTTCACCTCACTTTCTCGTTGTATTTCCATGTTTTGTGTGCTTCAAATGGAATTTTTTGATGTTATGAAGATGTCCACATCTTGGGATAGGTTCTAGCTTCCGGAGGCTTTGTAAATAATTTTATATGGAAAATATGCTGAGTGAAAATCACATTAAACTGGGCTCAGTGGGTTTTTTTTTAATTAAAAATAAAGCTAATAGATGATTCCTGTTCTTCGCTGAATTCGTATTTGCAGATATACCTCGTGTACATTTATTGTTTTACATAGAAGCAAGAATAGTTAGCACATATGAATTTCATTTGATAGCTTATTGTTCTAGAGAATTCATTATTGTAATTTTATTTTTGAGGGTCCGGTCTTTCTATATCTGGTGGTTTTCATTTCTCTGAGATGGTCTGGTCTTCTCACCTGGATTTGCTATGTGATACACTTGCCAGAGGCTTTGGAATTTTGCAACTGGGAAATTTCTGAAGACATACACTGGGCATGCCAATACAAAATACTGTATTTCGTCCGCCTTTTCCATAACAAATGGAATGTACATTGTTGGTGGTTCTGAGGATAATTGTATGTACTTGTGGGAGCTTCAAAGCAGGAAAATAGTACAGAAATTGGAAGGTCACACTGATACAGTTATATCAGTAGCATGCCATCCCACGCAGAACATGATCGCATCCGGTGCAATAGGCAGTGACAAGACTGTGAAGATCTGGACTCAGGAAAAATGAGGATTTTTTTTTTCCTCATCTAGCAGCTGAGGGAAATGTTTTGCTCGATGGCTGAAGCTTCTGCGTTTTCCCAGATCCTTATCCTATTGACATGCTTGTAGTTTTGATTCATTTAACTACTGTTCGTGTACTCCAGTATTTGATGGAACTCAGTTGTCAAAACTTTTTATTTATGTAATTATTGTTAATTCCCTCGATTGTTATCACCTGTGAATTTCAATTGTCAGATATAAGCCCCCAGCAGGTCACATTGAGATCCGCCGACCCGGGGCTTTCCCAGGCCGGGTCAGTGTTGATGGACAGGGTCGGATGACTTCGTTGCTGGGTAGTAATCATTTCTTTCATGTGGAGCCAACAGCAGATGGGATATGCTCCGATAACCCTTTGAACATCAGAGCTGTTGAACACGCTCATGCTTAATATTTTATTATTATGGATTACATCATCTGAGCTGACCGGATTCTGAGTCATACAAGGCCCATCATACATCAATCCGAAGTCCCGTCGTGCTAACCATTTCATTACAAGTATATATAAATATTCTATTAAATTTTCGTCAATATATTAGGCAATAAATCTTCAATTCCAGTATACTTTTTTTTATTTTCAATATTAACATTTCAAAATCTTCAAAAAGAATAATTTAAAAACTTCAATTCAGGCAGCAAACACTTACTCAGCACCTAGCAAAGATAAAAGGAGGATCTGTTTCTTCCTTCCTGGGGCACTCAAAAGAAGACAAAAACTGTGAGTTGCTTCGTTGGAAACCTTGGTGGGCCCATTCGCGGGGGCTGAAAAGGTCCCATGTAACCAAAATTTGGTATTTAATTTTGTGCAGATTAGAACCTAAAGATTCGGATCCAAAGTATTAAATCTTGATTTACATGATTTTGGGAGTTTTGATTGGAACATTTCAACTAGTCGACACGTACGGTATCCGCATCATATCTCTGATTATAAAACCTATTAAAAGGGTGTTTGATAATGTAATTATAATTATTTTTTAAATAATTTTTCTTATTAAAATACATATTAATAATATTTTTTATTTTAAAAAAATTATTTTTAACATCCGCACATTAAAACAATTTAAATATATTAAATTTTAATAAAAAATTTAAAATTTTTTAAAAATATTATTTGCACCGTATTCCCGGACAATACCTAATAATAACTGATCAATTACCTTGCCAAATGAATTCATTCTGCACCGTATTCCCAAACAATGGCTAATAATAACTAATCAATTACCTTGCCAAATGAATTCATTCCGTACACTCGTAATGGTATGATCTACGGACATAGATACATTACAAGAACATGAAATGATACGAAGACGATGGCATTACAATTTTTAAACAATTAGAATATGAATAGTCTACATGAGTGCCATGTTGGTGGTTGAATCAAGATCTGCTTTCAAGGTAACAGGTTATAAAGAATTAGTTGATTTTGTTATTCTCTATATTAATCTTAAAATGTTCTTATCCTTATCCGAGTTCTCATTAAGTCTAAGTTTAGAATTAACCTATATACAAGTTGATTCGACATAATTTTATTGATTTGATTAATTAAAAAATAATTTAACTGGATGATAAAAAAATATACTTAAAAAAATCTCCTAATTAATCTTGTTATTTAGTTTGAATTTAAAATTAAATTATGTAAAAATTATCATAATATAATTCAATTAATTAATCAATTTAAAGACAATCTAGATAATTATTAAAAAAATATATAGAAAAAATTAAAAAAATAAATAATCCCACTATTTATATGATCAATGAAGCTATGTTGATATAGAAAAAATTAAAAAAATAAATAATCTCACTATTTATATGATCAATGAAGCTATTTATATGATCAATGAAGCTATGTTGTACTAAGGTAACATGTGTGAGGGGGATTTTAATTTTTCAATTATTATATATATTATATAGGAAATTTATTTTAAAATTAAATAAAAATAAATATAATGAATTTTATGTGAAAATATATGAAAGTATAAAATGGAAAAATAAAGATTGTGTTATTTATATTTTTTACAATTATAAATAAATTTGATTGTTAAAAATTAAATTATCTGTAAAATGATTATGAAAGGATCAATTGTAATTTCATTTTTTATTTTCAAATTTGAATAGTTCTATTCATATTTTTTTAATATATTATTTATTTTAAATAATAAATAATTTTTAGTCTAGAAATATAGAAATAAAAAAAGTATTATGCTTACATTTTTACTTCAAATAACTCTTAAATAAAATATGATAATATCATCAATCATAATATTGCATTAATTTTCATGCATTATTATAAAAAATAATAAATTAGAAATGATTATTGAAAAAAAAAGTTGAAGTACGTTATCTTCCGTTAAATGTTTGATTTTCTTAAATCACAAAATTTAAAATTACATTTGAGTCCTTTTAAAAAAAATACAAATTTAACACCAAAATGTATCCTAACTACATCCAAATCAAATATTTTTTTAAAAAAAACAATATGTAGGATTTTACAAAGTGTTTTTATATATAGAAAGAAATTCAAATAAAATTTAAAAAGTTTATACATACATTTTTAATTAAATAAATTATTAACTATTTATACAATAAAAAATATATAAAACTAGATCCTTATTTGTTTAAAATTAACCAGTTAAACTCTTAACTGATATCATAAATTTAATTAAATTCAATAAAAATTATGATGCACCTTGAGAATTTCAGAAAATAAATTAAAAGAAGAGCGGGTCATGTATCTGGTGGATGCTTGATGGGTGAAGTAGATCCTTCACCCAACCCACCCTAATCAGACACATATGATGATTAGGAAGGTGTTGGGTCAGTGCGGGCGCATGAAAAAACTACCCTAACCCGATCCATTATCATCTCTAGTTATTAGTGTGTTCGTATAAAACCCAGCTTTCATCCTTCATGGTTATACAAGGGAGCACCTTGTCTCCATAAACAGAACGCCTGGTTTAACTTTTACGTCCCACGACTGTTCAAGGCAAGGTCTCATATTGACAGCTCTCTCTCTATATATATATGTGTATATATAAACGCCCACGGAAGCAATATGTCAAAGGAATTGAAAATTTTCGATAGATGGATTGGATGTCTAATTCAATAAATTAAGTTTATAGCTTTGGGTTGGCAGAGGTGGACAGGAAATATAATCTTTCTTTTCTAATTCCTGTAGATACGATATCTCAACCGATGATCAACTTGGTTTTTGTTAATATAATTTAAGCATCTCCCTCGTCAACAAGATTAGTAGAAGACTGTGTGTAGGCTTCATTTGATTTGAGAAAGCAGATGAGGACAAAATTCTCAGGCCTCAGTTTCTTCTTCTAATACCCTCCCTCCCCCTTCTTTCTAGTGGAAGCGTGCAGTAATTTAGGTTCATTTCTCAGCTTTTTCAAGCCTTCCGGACTAAGCCTTGATCAGGTGACTAACCCACATCAGATTTTTCTTGTTCTGAAACATCTTCATCTTTGTTTACCACTCTCTCCTTCTCAGTTTGATGTGTGTGCCACTCTTTCTTGAATGTTTTTATAGCTGTTCAAGTCGTTGGACTATAAAGGCTCGACGAACTTGTGTTTTTAGGGCAAGACTTGTGCAGCTCTGTACATTTTTGTGGAGTAAGAAGCTACCCTTATGGATATAGCAGCAGGGAAATGGCTTAGTGAGATGGTATGTCATGATCAATGTTAATGCAAGGACATACACCCCTTGCTAGCTAGCTACTGCTAAAACCTAGAGAAATCATTAATTCTAATAGTAGTAGTGCTTGAAATTTCTATTATTCCATGACTTAATTGACAATTACTATTTCATTGATCTGAAAATTTTTGTTTGATTGAGTTATCTGTATGTTGTAGGGCATGGATGATTACAAATTCATCCATCAATGCCATATCAACTCTCTTGCCGAGTTCACCGCACAAAACATGGCAACTACTCTACTGGGAGAAAACCTCCAACGATCTTTCTCTTCCGAGAGTTTCTCCTCGAAACCCAGTTTAATGATGACCAGAAACACCACGATCACCAGTACTTCAAATGGTTCCTCCTCTGAAACGTCTCAGACCAGCATTGAAACACCTGGAAAACAGCAGAGAACTAACAGCTGGAACTCTAGCTTTTCTACCCTGCACCAATCGCCAAAACCAACCTCTAGCTTCTCTACCCCGCACCAATCGCCAAAACCACCTTCTCCTATTCCTGAAAGTTTTTCTTTCAACACCTCAGCTCCACCACCTACGGCCAGCTCCCAGCAGTTTTACGGAAATCTTGACCGCTTGATCAAGCCTAAGGATGAGGCTGCATCTCCAATAAACATGCACTTTCAAACTTCAATTTCAAAAGCTGCTTGTGAGAGATCAGAAAGTTATGCCCCAGAGGCTAAGCAAGGGATCAAGAGGCCTTACTCAATGACTAGAAGTGCTATGCATGTTCAAGATCACATAATGGCTGAGAGAAAGCGCAGAAAAAAGCTTAGCCAGCAGTTCATTGCTCTTTCAGCCGTTGTTCCAGGTCTTAAAAAGGTGAATGAAAGTTTCAAATTGATAGATAGTACCACAATGCCTTTATTTCTTCGAAGGGAAAATCTAGGATAAGTTAATTGTGAAATATTATAAATCTCGAACCTTGATGGTCAATCTTTAACCAAGACTGACATACTTCCAATACTTTAGATGGACAAGGCTTCTGTCCTTGAAGGCGCTATGAAGTACATGAAACAACTCCAAGAACAACTGAAACAACTCCAGGATCAGACCAAGACAAAAACCATGGAATCCGTGGTTCTGCTGAAGAAGTCTAAGCTCTCTGTTGATGATGAATGTTCTTCATCTGATGAGAACTTTGATGGCCTCCCTGACTCACCGCTCCCAGAAATTGAAGCAAGAACAACCGATAAGGATGTACTGATTCGGATCCATTGCAAGAACCAGCAAGGAGTTGGGATTAAAATACTAAGCGAGATTGAGAATCTTCATCTATCAGTCGTCAATAGCAGTGTATTGGTATTTGGGAATTCCACTCTTGACGTCACAGTAATTGCTCAGGTAATTTTAAATATATAGCATCTCCCTCTGATTTACACAATCAACTTGCAAAACTAAACCAGTATCCATGGCTTAATGGACTTGCATGCCGTTTTCTTGATACAATATATAATAGCTTTGGACAAGTAAGATATCCACATTCTTGTGCAATAACCATGTGGTTGGTCGCCTTCCAAACGGATTCTTAGTACAAGTGAGTTCCTCGTAGAAAGCTCGTTATAAAATGACGAGTTTGAGTCAATCTTACCACAATTTATAATTAGTGACATACTTACATCATCATACGTGATTGTAACTGTAGTCGGAAAGATTTAAACTCCGACACCGGTACAAGTATGGTAAAGTCCTTTCAAATAAAGAAATGAATAAAATGATGTAATGTGCATGTAATATTCTTTATTAAATAGCTTACGACTAAGGTTATATTTAAGATTATAATTTTTTTTATTGTTTTGATATAATGTCATGACTGAATTTTAAAAAATAAAATTAAAATATTATTTTTATATATTTTTAAATAAAAAATACTTTAAAAAACAACTATGATTACTCTTTACAATATTAACTTATATACATCTTCTTTTCTCTTAAAAAAAAAAACCTAATTATTATACAGAGACACTCCTTACACTCCATATCTTGTGCAGATGGACAATGATTTCTCCTTGACAATGAAAGATCTTGTCAAAAAACTAAGACTGGCTTGTATGAAGCTCTCATGTGCTATAATACCAAGCTCGTGCATTCAAGCCTGAAGATTTGCCCAGGCCCTCCATTTTTTATCCAAATCTTCTCGGACAAGCACTGGTCCACAAATCTCCCATCCCCTTCAGTAGATCAGTTTGTATTGTCAATTAAAAGGTTGCTATGCCAATTGCCATGGAGGTCCGGCTCGCAGCAGGACTTTTCTTCTTGTTTTTTGCGTGTTGACCACGTTGAATTACCCACATGCTGTGCCAAGAATCCACACGGCCATTAATTGGTTTGTGCAACCAATTTTATAATCACTTCTGCCTCTCTGTATCCTGCCGAGAAATTGGTTTATGCAATTGTCGTTGTCTTCTAAACCTCAATTTTATTTTAAATCCTTTTGATTTTATCAATTTTGGACATTACACAGTGTATCATTCTCAAATAAACTCTTTTTAGTTAAATTGTTTTTGAATAATTGGAATTACTGTAGTTTTGTGATTTATAAATTATGGTTTTGATTTCTCATTAAAAAATGACAAAAAAATAGTTAAATTTTCAATGTATTTCTATGTTTTTTTAAGAGAAGCTTCTTCTTTTTTGACATATAGACATTTTTTTTAATTTTTATCAAAAACTAAAAAAATTAAAGAAAAAAAAAGAGATAGGATGTTCTTTTTGTTATTTTATTTTTTTTACTTGACATTTGATCTGTTCTAATTTAATAGAAATTTTTTTCTTTATAATTATCATTTCAAAATAATTATTAATAATATTATTTAATTATTTTAATCATGTTTCAGTAATATAATAACCACTTTTTATATTCACCGTAACCATAATTTATTAATATAATTATTAAAATAATTAATATTTTATTATTTTTATTGTTATTACCATCATCACCTTATTAATGTAATTACCATTATAGCCATCATTATTATCACTTTACAACTATCATTCAACACAATGATATCAATGTTAAAATAAAAATTATTATTATTATCATTACTGTTATTACTCTACTATTTTTATTTTTAAAATTATTGTTATTATATATTATATCCTCTTGTCTTGTTATCACTTATGCACGATTAATGATGAAAAATAAATAATTTATTTTTATAAAATTTATTATTTATTTTGAACTAACGTGTCTTCATTTAAAATCAATGTTAAAATAAAAGTTATTATTGTTATTATTGATATCATTGCTGCTATCACTCTATTATATTCTCTTATCTAGTTATCACCACTGAAAATAACTATTTTATTGTTTTATAAAATTTATTATTTGTTAACATTTTCTTCTCTATATACATAACTAACCGTTCAAAAAGTAATTTATACTTTAATCATATGTGAAAAAAAATTTGTTCGCATAATAAACACTTCATGTTGACTACTAGTTTAATCGATTTAATAATAAACTCTTAACAAATTGAATGCCACACATCAAATTATAAACATTTTTCCAATTTTTTTCCTTCTCCTTTTAAGGACTGTAAATGACTAGACTTTGTGGTTGATTCATTAAGAGTGGCCCAAATCCATCACTAAGCATGCACCAAGGAAATGTGGATTAGACTCAGCAAGAAATCCCACTAAACACATTCAGTGAACTTGGGCTTCAGCCGTAAAAAGTCACTCAGTCGCTGTAATCATCCACGTTACTCGCTCCTCCCTGCATGAAAAACGGATTGCAGTTAATTCTTGATGCTGTTCCCGTCCTCGTGAAACGAAGCTGTCACGAAGCCAACCTAGATTCAATCTGACGAAAATAAAACGTTTTTGAAAGACAATTGAGGAGAAATGAGGAAGGAAGCGGTGATGTTGGCGACAGTGACAACAGTGGCAGTCGTAGCTGTATTGGTGAGGCAAAACTCAAGAAAAAAACAAAGACGATGGAAGCAAACACAGCGCATTTTGCGTAAATTTGCAAGGGAATCTGCCACTCCTGTACCCAAACTTTGGGAAGTGGCTAATGCATTGGTTTCTGACATGCAAGCATCTCTTGTTTCACAGGAGGAAACTAGTACCCTCAACATGCTTGTTTCCTATGCTGCCTCGCTACCTAAAGGGTACAGGCAAATTTCTTCTATCCTTCTTCTTTTGGGTTTACTTGCTCGATCTTATTACACGATATTGTTGACGTTGTTAACATTGTTTTGATGAAATCTTGAACTAAGGGATGAGAAGGGGCTGTATTATGGGTTGAATTTGCGAGGAACCAATTTTTTAATTTTGTGTGCTCGACTTGGAGGGAGAAATGAGCCTATTTCTGATTTATATAGGAAGGAAATTTCCATACCCCCCAATGTGTTGTCTGGTACCTCTCAGGTATGCTTAAGCTTTGGAATGATAGATGTATTCATGCTTTGATTTAAAGCAATTTCCAAAAAGTATATTCCTTCCACCTTTCGTTTTGTTTTAGAGTCCTTGTGTCAACATTGGAAATTTGAAACATGGATATGAATACTCAAAACACTTCAATTATATATATATATATATAAAGAAATAAACACCGAATTTTTTAAGATGAAAAACAGTTTAATAATCTATTGCAGTTGCTTCCACAATCTTGAAACATGTTGAACAATGAGCTTTCTTGTCCTTTAGGAGTTATTCGACTACATTGCTGTGGAGCTAGCAAAGTTCGTTTTAGAACATCCCCCAGATGATACTCTTAATGCACCAGAAAGGGAAAAGAAACTGGGTTTCACTGTGTCCTATCCGGTGGATCAAGCGCGGAGCTAGCAAAGTTCGTTTCAGAACATCCCCCAGATGATACTCTTGATGCACCAGAAAGGGAAAAGAAACTGGGCTTCACTGTGTCCTATCCGGTGGATCAAGCTGCAGCTATTTCCGGCTCTGCTATTAAATGGAAGAGCTTCTCAGCTAATGACACAGTTGAGTTTGCCTTTCCCTTTTTCGCCAAGTAATTTCATTTGATAAGCCAAATGCAAACACTTTGTTTTCTTTTCTCCGCATAAAATGTAACATCTGAAATCTTAACAGCCGGTCCATGATGATGAACTCTTCTATTTTAATCAGACAAATAATGAAAAAAAATCATTTGAATGCAGGGAGTAAGTTATGATATTTCAAAAATTTAGAGACCATAAGTGTCGACTACTAGGTTAAGTTTGGATAGAAAAGACACATAAACCTGTAATAATTTTGGAGGAGCGAGCAAAAAACACAATGAGACATACATATCCTTTTTGCCTCCATTATTTCCGGGGTTTTTTTTCTCGAGATAGTAACCAGATGCTCCCTTAAATACAATCATATGCTACAACTAAACTATTGTCTAAGGATTGATAAACTCCACATTTATGTCATCTTAGTAAGAGGGATTTTTAACTAATTTTCCAGTTCAAGGGATGTTATGTCAGTGGTCTTTTTGTTAATTTTATAAATATCTCGGATTTATGTATGAACTCAGGTTGGGAAAGCATTGGTCAATGATATCAATCAAGCTTTGGAGAAACATGGTCTCAATTTCCGTGTTTTTTCACTGGTATGCTGCTATATACGTAGCTTTATCAGTTCAAAGTAAGAATAATTGTTCAAAATTAAGGATATTTCTCATCTCTTCTTGAGCAGGTTGATGATACCGTAGGAAATTTGGCTGGAGGTAGATGCTATAACAACGGCATTGTGGCTTCAGTTACTCTAGCCATGGGTTCAAATGCTGCTTATGTTGAACCAAATGAAGCAGTTCCTAAATGGCAAGGGCCAATGCCATCATCCAATGTGGGCGAGTTGGCAAGTATTAAATTAAGATTATCGATACTAATTTATGTAAGTAAAATGCAAACTTGAGGTGAGTGTGCTTAATTTTCACAGGTTATCAACACGGAATGGGGAAACTTCAATTGCTCAAACCTTCCAGTGACTGAATTTGATTCTAGTTTAGATTCAGAAAGCTCAAACCCTGGTTGCAGGGTATGGTAACTCATGTATTTCATGTCTCCATATAAAAGTAAATAGTTAAGATAAGGTAGTTAACATTTGTTTCCAAGTCTTCTTATGTCTCAGATCTTCGAAAAGCTTACTTCAGCCATGTACCTGGGAGAAATTGTTAGAAGAGTCTTGCTGAAGATGGCCCAGGAAACAGCACTCTTCGGAGACGTCGTCCCTCCAAAACTAGCTACTCCATACCAGCTAAGGTATGGAAGCAATATTTAGAACCTATCTAAATGTGCACAGTTTGTAAGCAACTGCATCAAATTGCTGTCTTGTTGAACTTCTCTTTCTCTTGTCGACAGTCTAAGAACAATGATAAGACTCTAGGTAAAGTTATATGTAGCGCCTTTAAAATTGAAGCTTAGTTTCAATCATTATACTTCAAAATCTTGCTTCGACTGCTCTCAAGATTTGTCTACAACATTATTGATCCATTCCTTTCACAACTGCATGGTTTTGCTATATAGTAAAAATACATATATATTGAACAGGTCACCTGACATGGCTGCCATGCATCAAGATACATCAGAGGATCATGGTGTGGTTGGTGAGAAGCTGAAGGAAAATCTTGGGGTAAGGTTCCTTTAACATGTCCAGCTAACATCAAACATTGAAACAAAGCCTAAGCCTGTTGCCTTTCTTCCTTTCGAACCTTGGAGCATGAATTCAGAATCAAAGTCCTGCCTACGGAAGTTTACTGTACCAATAATATCTCACCATTAACCATTTAATTATTGGTTTTTCTCTTACTTAAAGTTTTGAATCCAGGTAGAAACATGCTGATTATACAATGACACGAAATATATACTTCTTAATCGTTGCTGTATATTTCACTTCAAGGTTAGAAGTTGTACACTAATTAGCATCAGTTTTTTCTTGATAGCAGATCACAAATTCTTCTCCAATGGTAAGGGAGGTAGTGGCTGAGGTTTGTGACATCGTTGCGGAACGCGGTGCCCGTCTTGCTGGAGCTGGCATTGTGGGAATCATAAAAAAGCTTGGCAGGATTGAAAGCAGAAAAAGTGTAGTAACTGTGGAAGGTGGACTTTATGAGCATTATAGAGTCTTTAGAAACTATCTCCATAGCAGTGTCTGGGAGATGCTGGGCAGTGACCATTCAGATAATGTAGTAATTGAACATTCTCATGGCGGTTCTGGAGCCGGAGCTGTCTTCTTAGCTGCTTGCCAAAACACAAAATCTTCTTGATTCCTAGCTCATACCTGGATTTACGAAATTACAAGGTGTTCTGGATTGTCCTTACGTACTTTCAGTTTTTATAATTTCCAATTAAGTGAACTATATATTTGAATCCATCATTATTACATTTTTACTTGTGAAATTTAATTTCTAATATGGTCGGTCTAACAAGTTCCTTCAATTTTACCATTAATTCTCAGCTAGTGGTGTCTGGTAAGGATTAATCACGTATACGAATATGAAATACAAATATTATGACGTGGCTACCTTGATGTGTCAAAAAAATTTAAAAAAATAAGCTGTGGATTAATCACGTATACGAATATGAAATACAAATATTATGATGTGGCTACCTTGATATGTCAAATTTTTTTAAAAAAATAAGCTGTGGATTAATCACGTATACGAATATGAAATACATATATTATGATGCCGCTACCTTGATGTGTCCAATTTTTTTAAAAAAAATAAGCTGTTAAAATATAATTTTATTATTTATTATTATTTGAAAATAAACTTTAAATAATAATCAATATTTAATATTTAATAGTATTTGAAAATAAACTTTAAATAATAATCAGAATAACTACTTCATAAAAATTAAAAAGGAATACAATCAGTCAATTTTATAAAAAATAGTAAAATCACTGCTTAGTTAGAAAAATGACAATGATAAAAATGTTAAAATCATTCATTTTGATTTTTTTTTTAAATAGCATTCATCAATTATAAGTGTGTTATTGAATTTACATAAATAAAGTATTCATAAGTATTGGATATGGATGACCCTTGGTGCCCGCACTTTGATAATATTTTGAATTTTTTATAAAAAATAATGTTGAGATACTGAAACGAGATAAAAAAAATAAATAAATTGGTTATGGAAAACCTATAATTAGGATAAGGCTAACTTAAGATATGCTATCAAACTCATAGTTCAAATCATAAAATTGAAATAACTTGATAAAACAATAAAGAGAATTATAAAACAATTAAAAAAAAATATGTTAACTTTACAAACTTGTGACCTGGGTTGATAATCCAATATGGACAAACCATAAAATTCAATTATCATTCAATCAGATATTAAAAAAAAATAAAAAAAAATTGATTGCACAAAAGGATTACAAAAATAGTAATTAAAATACAAAATAAATGTGATATTTGATTGAAGGGTGAAATTAAAAAGAAAAATCAATTTAGTAAAAGGATAAAAAAATAATTAAAAGAATGAGGATCAAAATTGACATAAAAAATAAAATAATGTTTTGATTGAAAGGTGAAATTGAAAAAAATAATAACTTTTTACAAAATAACCAAGAAAAAAATTAAAAATTAAAATAATAGGGACCAAATTAGAAAATATAATATCATCAATTTGAATTAAAGGATGAAATTGAAAATCAATAAAACTTTCACAAAAAGATGAAGGCAAAAAAGTTGAAATCCAAATGAGAACCAAATTAGAGAATATAATATTTGGCAAATTGATATTAAATAATGAAATCAAAAACAAGTAAACTTCTATAAAATAGATAAGTCAAAAATTAAAAATTAAAAAAATTAAAAATTAAAGTTAAAATACCAACAACCAAAAAAGCTGAGTTGTAATTTTTCAAATAAAAATAATAAAAGCTTATCAATAACAAACTAAACCATAATCAAATACACACATTGCACCAACATGAAAAAGACGTGATGAAAGGAGTTTTTTTTATTTTTTTTTATATTGTGAGGCACCACACCAAATATGTCACACAAAAATATTCTTTTTTGTTTTTTTATTTAGTCAAGTATCAAATACTTTTAAGATAACTTTATATTTTTTTAAAAAAATCATTATGAAAATACTACGAAGTCTCTCGACATCAAGCAAGATTTTATATTCTAAGAGTATTTTACCATATATTTTAATTTGTTTTACTTTCAAGTATATTTTTGTTAATTCACTGTATAATTGGATTGTTAAAAATCCTTGTCTTCACTCTATTTGATAATAATAAACAAGCCATGTCAAAAGAATTGGATGCCATTATCATTGCTTTATTTATTAATAATAAATAAGATAAAAATATATTTATATCATTCCACTAAATAATGACAATAAGTACCGAACTATAATAATTTCTTATTGTGTTTTTATCTTTTTCTAATAAAAAATTTATTCTCCAAGCATCTAGACAATTCATATTTTATTTTTTTATTAATCTAGAATATATTTAAAAAATATTAAGGTTTTGTTTATAATTATAGTGTGGTAGAGTTACATATGCTTATTTAGATCATTATAATTTTAAAATTATTTGATTTTTATTTCTTGAATTTTCTTTTCATTTTAAATTATATAAAAAACTTGAATTTATATATATAATTCATAAGTTTTCTTAATAATATTTTTTTAAAAATACAATAAAAAAAAGTTATAAGAATTTCAAACATAAACCAATACCACTAGCAATACGTGAAGGTTTCTGGAGTATATGCGCTGTATATATAACAGGGTCTAACTATCTATAATAGGGTCTAACATATCAAATCCATGAAGGGGACGTGTCCAAATTTCTTTACATGGACAGACTGAGACAAGGCAAGTTGAAAATGACTTGCGCTGGATGGAGAAAGTGAGAAACAAACATGACGAACACTGTCTTTTTCTTTGTCCAGTGTCCTCCCATCGAAGCATTGTCTTGTTTTTTAAAATATCTTTATATTAAGATATATTAATATAATATTTTTTTAAAAATACTTTTAAAATTAATGTATTAAAATAATTTAAAACATATAAAAAATTTAATTTTTTATTAAAAATAATTAAAGATTTACACCGTATTTTCAAACATTATGAATACAGTTGATTAAAGTATTTTTTATTTTAAAATAATATTTTTTATTTTTTAAATTTATTTTTGATATAAAAAATTAATTTAAAGTTTAAAAAATTTAAAATTCAGAAAAACATTATTGGACCGCCATGATATATCTACAATTTCTTTTGTGTTTTCTTCTCCTTCTTTTTTGTTATCAAATAAATGTGCAATCCCTGCAGGAAGTTCCTGTCAAACGAGGAGGAAATCTACTTCCCTGGCATGAGGAGTGATCACTGTTTTCAAAACCCATAATTTATTACTCTAATAAATTATGTAAAGGAAATTAAAAAAGAAAAAACAGGGTTACTTAAATGACCTGAATTGTATTTTTTTTATTCATTTACTTATTTGCTTATAAGTTCTTAAAACTAACAGGATGTAATTTCCAAAAAAGATTTTTAAGAAAAGATTTGACAAAGAAGCAGTTGGATATGGGGTATAAAATCCAGGTAATTAGAGCTAAAAATATAGTTATATTTCGTGTAAAATATAATTTAGATTATAAAAATAATCTCGAGTCAAGAAATGTAAAAACAAAATATATAATAAAAAAACAATTATTTGAAATGGTGATATACCTTTTACTGAATTATTCGAATACCCGCCCCCTTGTCTAGGAATGGCAAATATACCTTTTACTGCAGCCCTTTCAATTACAGGTACTTCTTTCTTCTGCAGCTTTTTCGTCCTCGCAGGCTCAAGACGGGCAAGGATAATCCTTTGGTTCCCCACCGCGTGCCCCACCGCGTTTCCCACCGTGTAGGGCCGGAAGCCAACTCTCTACCCCATCTGTTGATGGACCACCATGATCACTTCCCTCGCTGCCAATGCATTGCGTTTCAGTGTCCCCCTTCTTGACATTTGCGTCATGTCATTACCCAAACCTTGTTTGGCGCGATTCAAGGAACAGATCACGTGCACCTACACGCCTCTTCGCTCTGATGTAGAAAAACAACACTAGTTTTCACTGCTGTTTACTTTAATGGAGATGCATGTGATAATTGGCAATCACAGTAAAGTTGATATCATTTTTACAAATCCAAACAATATATGAAAATAAAGATTTATATGCTTGCAAAAGGCAGTGAAAAGGGCATCACTATCAGAGAAAAGGTAAAAAAATGAAGGGGAAAGGGAAGAGCATTTAACCCATTTCGATTTTTTGTCCATCAAACATCATGGATGTCCCCTCCATTTCCAACCATGAAAACTATGATTTGGAATTTGTGGGGATATATAGGAGTAGAGGCATTTGTGTTCCTAACAACAATCAATTCTCCTTTTAATTAATAAAACATAAAATTTAATTTTAAGATGATGATTTATGGAACATACAAGACTCTACCCATCCAAACTCCATCTTATTCCAGCCACGTACAAGATATCTGCTTGTATAAAAATATAATTATGGTTACTTTTAAAAAAAAAATTATTTAAAAATGTATTAAAATATTTTTTTTATGTTTAAAAAATTATTTTTGATAATAGTGCATTAAAATAATTTAAAATTATCAAAAAAATATTAATTT